AATTACAATACAAATATTTTTGATTACCTTAATAAAATTATTGCTAATAGTTCTAACATTATAATCATTATGGAAATCATTAGAATAATACTAATTATTGCTATTGTTTCAATTATTATCAAAATTATCCTTAGAATTATAATTCTATTATTATTGTAATTATTATTGTTATTATCATCATTATTGTCATCATTATTGTCAATATTAATGGGATTATCATGAAATGTATCATAATTAACAGAAGATGCTAATATCATCATAATTAGGATTTAGAATCGCAAAAGGGTTTTTTCGACCATTCTCTCAAAAGGCTGTAATACGCTAGATGTTGCCGTTTTTTCGACTTTTGGGATTTTATTACTTTTAGCCATTTTTTTCATTTTTAATGGGCGCAAAGATTATCATTTTTTAATTATCATCTTTGTCATTATTATTATGATTATTATCATTATAGTAATTATCGCCTTAATTATCGCTAGAATTATCATTGTTGCAGTTATAATAATTATTATCCTAACTATTGTTGTCATTTTCATCACTTAAGCTATTTTTTAATGATAATGATAGTAAGTATAATTTTAGGAATAGTAATAACAATACTAATATTTTTAATTACAATACTAATATTTTTAATTACAATACTAATATTTTTAATTACCATAATATTTTTTTTAATATTATTATGGAAATCGTTAGAATAATGCTAATTATTGCTATTTTTCAATTATTATCTAAATTATCATTAGAATTATTATTCTATTATCATTATCATCATTATTGTAATTATCATTATTATTGTCATTATTATCATTATTATTGTCATTATTATCATTATTATTGTCATTATTATCATTATTATTGTCATTATTATCATTATCATTGTCATTATAATCATTATTTTTGTCATTGTTATCATTATTATTGTCATTATTATCATTAATATTGTCATTATTATACTTATTATCATCATTATTGTCAATATTCATTATTCATTTTTTCATTATTAATGGGCTCAGTAATTATCATTATCCTTATTATTATCATTATTGTCATTGTTATTATGATTATTATCATTTTAATAATTATCGCCATACTTATCATTATAATTATCATTATTGCAGTTATAATCATTATAATCCTAATTATCATTGTCATTTTCATCAATAAACCTATATAAGAACATAATATTTCTAATTTCCCATAACAATAATATTATTACTTTAGTTGTAATATTATTATCATTATGGAAATCATTAGAGTAACGCTACTTATTACAATTTTTTCAATTATTTTCAAAAATTATCATTAGAATTATAATTCTGATATTATCATCATTATTATTGTCATTCTCGTCATTATTATCACCATTATTGTCAATATGAATGGTATTATCATTAATACCATCATGATTAACAGAATTAATGCTAAAATCATCATAAGTATGATTTACAATCGAAATAATGATAATTTTGTGATTAATAATAACAATAATATTTTTGATTACCATAATAAAATTATTAGTATTAATTCGAATATCATTATATGGAAATCATTAGAATAATGCTAATTATTGCTATTTTTTTCAATTACTAATCAAATTATCACTAGAACTATAATTCTATTATATATCATTATTGTTATTATCATCATTATCATCATTATTGTCAATATTAATGAGATTATCAATGAAATTATCATAATTAACAGAATTAAGGCTAAAATCATCATGATTAGGATTTTGAATCGAAAAAGTTTTTTTTTTACCATTCTCTCAAAAGGCTGGAATACAATAGATTTTGCTTGTTTTCGACTTTTGGGATTTTATTAGTTATAGCTTTTTCATTATAAATGGATGCAATAATCATTATCTTCGTTATTATAGTCATTATTGTTATTATTAGTATTATAATTATTTATATAATTATCGCCATAGTAATCATTATTGTTATCATTATTCCAGTTATAATAATTATCATTGTCATTTTCATCATTATTACTATTTTCATAATGAATAATACAATAATGATAATTACAGTGATAATAAGAACAATAATAAAAAATAATATTAACCTAATAATATTTGTATCATTGTTTTCATTATCATTATTAGTATTCAAAATTCATACAGATTACTGTTTGTTATTGCTATTATTTCAGTTATTAGCAAAATTATCATTAAGATTCTCATATTATTATTATAATTATCATCGTGATTATTCATTTTTTCATCATTATTGTCAATATTAATGGTAATTATCATCAAAATGATCATGATTAATTGAATTACTGCTAAAATCATCGGAAAATCATGATTGGCAATAATATTATTGTTATATTTATTTACATAGTAGCAGTAGTATGAACATCATTAGAAATCTTTTCATTATACTTATTATTGGAGTTTATTATCAAAATTATCATATATATATATATATATATATGTATATATATAATATATATATATATATATATATATACATATATATATATATATATATATGTATATAATTATATATATATATATATATATATATATATATATANGGACAGTTACTGTAAAATCCACGTCTAGCCCTACGGAGATACAAACCACGACTGAGAGAGGAGAGAGAGAACGAGAGAGAGAGAGATGAGAGACGAGACGTGACTGATATGAAGAGAGGAGAGAGAGGAGAGGAGAGAGAGAGAGAGAGAGAGAGAGAAGTGTACAATACATGCAATACCTACTTCCCACGTGTGGTCCTCCACCACGTGGTGTGGGGCCTGCCCACGCTATCGCCCAAACCACGCTCTTCTAAATATGGAGGCCGCGCCGTCAGCCAAGGGGGTATATAAGGTCATTGAAGCTGACCCTCATTCTAACAAAACAAAAACTCTCTCCTTCACACACAAACATTTACTCTCACTAACAACAAACACAACTCCAGCTTGTTCTGATGGAATAAAGCACTCAGACGGTTCCCTGTAGTGGGTCGTGACCGATCTATTACACGTCTGAACTCCGCGAGGAAGCCTCTCGCTTCCTCCTTAACATCCTGTGGGGTGAGTTGGCCTGTAGACAGACCAACAAACTCCGTGCTTGACTCACCACTGGCTGGATGGACTCACCCTCCATCCTTCGTTCCGGCAGGAGATCAAGTTTAGGCCGTGATCTCTTTCTTTGGCATGGGACAGGAAATGCAGTTTTCGGGTTTTGCAGCATCACTTTGAAGCCACCTTCTACTCATTCCTTTCAAATTTTCCCTTCCCCTATCCACTCGTTTTGTTCAGTTTTTGTGTTCTCTTTTTCTGTCTGTTTAGATTTGTTGTTGTTTGGTTTTTGTTGTCCTGTACCTTTTTAATCTCACCAATAAAGTAATCTCCCCCAGGTACTGCCCTCTCTTATCCCCGTTTTTAAATACCTTCACCTCGTCTCCTGACGCTTGTGACACCACCTCACCCCTCACCCCTCACCCTCATTCATACCATATCCCTGCCATAGCGTTGACCCTCATCCTTATCCTTACCCTGACATCCCACTGGTTTCGGTTTCCGACACGTGGCGCTTGCTGCTAGTACTCGTGCCAGGACCACAAATCCTTTAGCGTAAGGGTTTGTGCGAGCCGAGGAAAGAAGCGCCACGGCCAGTGGTGGAGTTAACCAAATCGTGTGAGGCCGCCCGAGCCGCGCCCCTCCTGAAGACCTGCGGCCGAGGGAGAGAAATCTCCTCTCGACCCGGGCGGGAGTGGCCAGCCTCTGTGTGGCCTCACTCGAGCTTCATCCTGCTTCAGCGGTGATGGTTAGCCGAGGGACAGCTCTGGAGCCACGGTCGAGAGGCCGTGGCTCCGAGCATACCGCAGATGGCGCCCAAAACCTGCTAACTTCTCTCCCCTCCCCCTCAGTTAGCCGAGAGGCTCCGTGGTCGCCATAGCGAGGCTCCGCGCCCCGTGGGAAAATTGTGGCGAGGCGAGCCGCGCTCAAGGTCGTGGGGTATTCCCCGCGCCACGAGTCGCGACCTTGCCTCGCCACACGATCCCGCGGGGTGCGGCCGCGCGGTGAACACGCGAGTCTGCCGATGGCGCTGAGCCCCTCGATCCTTTTCCTCTTTCAACAAACCCACTCCAACTATTACCCCAAGTTTACCCCGCAGGCTGGGTGAAGCCCCGGCTCCTTCTTCTTCTCCTGAAATTCTTTTCCTCCTCCTTATCCTTCTCCTATCCCCACTCTTCCTTCCCCCCCTCTTCTTTACATTTTATCTTATTATTACCCTCATTCTCACTCACTCACTCACTCTTGCTCACACCTTGACCTGGGGTGACCGTGCCATGCGGCCGCTGCTTCTCCGAGGCCCGGCCTAGCCAAGCCTCAGCACGGAGTGCCGGCAGACCGTAGTTTTCATATCGTGTGTTCTATTCAATAAAGACTGAAGCCAGTCAGTGTTTCCCTGACGCCACCTGTAATTCAAACTGCACTATAAAATAGAGGTGTTAGTACCTCTTATAGAGAGAGAGATGGATAGATAAATAGAGACGGATAGATAGATAGAGAGAGATGGATAAATAGACAGGTGAGAGATGGAAAGATAGAGAGGGAGTTGGAGATGGAGATGGAAGGATGGATTTAAACAGTCATTCTCATTCTTTTCGAGTATTTGTTATTTTTTCAGTACATGTTTATATTGCATCTTCTTTGGTCCAGGATTTGTTAGTGATTGATTTATGATACTGCTAATGATAATGATCAAAATAATAATCACTATGGTAACGGGAATAAGGACAATTATATAGATAATTCAGTAATGATAAGAGTGCTATTGGTGAAAAAGCTTCAGAATAAGGAAAAAGTATGAAGGAGATTGGATGCCTTCATAATCCAAGGCTTTCAACAGACTTTTCGCAATGCAATTACACAAAACAGATGTAGGTGGCGCTCTGCCTGCCTAAGCCCTTGGCCCCGAAGACCCTTTCCTTGTGGAATTGCTCATCTGCCTCCCGACGGGGCCGATTATCTCCCCAGAGTCT